CAAAACCACAGGGAGCATGCCAGGGTCTGCAGGGACTCTGTCACAAGAAAGAAAACCCACAACAACCAAAACAACACTTTTTTTTTTTTCCTGTCCAGGAAATGTGGTGGGTTTAGAGGCAACAACACTCTTTTGCAAACTCTCCCCTTTGTAACATGTTTTGGCTGCCAGTGCCCCAGAGATAAACATGATGGTTTTTGTCTGACTAGTCAGCCTGGCCTGTGTTTTCTGGAAGTCAAGCTCAGAGCAATGCCCCGAGGCATTTCACTGGGCTTTGCAGCTCCCCCTGCAAAATGCCAGTGAGCATTTCTGTGGGAAGGTGACATCCTGAAAGAAAGAAAATGGTTCTCACACACACAGACGAAAAAACCCCTTCAAAACCTTTTCTCTTAAACTGTCACACACATTTTGAAGGTTTTTTCTTATTTCAGTCCCATGCCCCTTTCTCTCCCTCTTCTGCTTGATGTTTTCTTGGCCCCCGTCTTCCCCCAAGAGTTACTCCTTTCGTAAGGAAAGCCAGCAGCAGATGAGCAAACCAGCTCTGGTACATCACTCAAAAGGACCCCGAAAAAGCACAGGCAGAGCAAGTAGCAGTCATTGCATTTTGGATTGCTGCTTTAAGAACCCCTTCACAGGAATAGCATGGCTCCTGTGCTGAGGTAACTGACACAAACTCATCTTTCCTTTAAGCTAGTGAGGGCTTTTTTTCCACTCCTGCTGCAGAGGAGATATTAAACAGCTTATTCAGAGCAGGTTTTTAGCTGGATCCCTGACAGGCTGGCTCCAGCTGAGCCTGGGGGGAAGCTGCATGTCCACTGCTGCTGCTATTTCCTTGCACAGCTTTACACCGCCCAGAGGACCCAGACCCTGACCCCAGGCTCTGCCTCCCAGCAAGGGAATGTGCCAGGTTATGGAAACCCCATTTCTCCCAGGAATGTCTTCTCAGCTTGGTGTCCCCCGCAAGCAGTGCAGCAATGGCCCCTACGCAGCACAGAGGTGTGCCTGGGCTGGAGCTCGCCCTGCTACAAAGCATCAGCCCAAATCCCATGTAAGCCTTGGTTTGTGTGAGACAGATAGGGGTACTTGGGCTGGTTCTTTGCATCCTTCCCCATCACAGGGGAGCAGTAGCAACTCCCACAGCTGCCCTTGGTAGAGGCACTTGCACCCATCTGCTAGGCATGGGAAAGGACTTAGCAGCACTGGAAAGCTGCAGTGCTCTACCAAGGACTTACTGTAGGTGATGCCTGCCTTCCCCTCCTCATGTATCTGCCCTTCCCCTCGCTTCCCACTGTGGTTGTTTCTGCTCCCCTTCTGCCCTTGCTGCTCTCACAGGGAGGGGATGAATTAAGCCAGGAAAGCTGATTCCACTCCCTCCCATCGTGCAGCCACAACTCTTTACTGGCTGGCTGCAATCTGTTATCAACTCCTTGCAAGAGTCCCCTCACATAAAGGACAGCTCAGCTGCACATTTCTTACATGCAAAGGCTCAGTGTGCTTGTTTGCCTTAAACTAGAGTGGAATATTTCCAGCAAACATTTTGTAACTCTTAACAAAGGTGAATTTCAGATAGTTCATATGGTCCCACTCTGCCACATGATTTTAAGCACCCAACATGTTGTAGATAGCCTGGACAAGCCTGCTAAGGGATGCTGGGTGGTCAGAGCCAGGCCTGGTTGGCCTCCAGTCTGACTTGGCTCACTGGCTGCCAGCTCTGAGCAGCCCCTTCCCTCTAGTCTGCCCTCTGTGATGTGCATCTCACCCGTCTCTCTTGCTTTCTCTTCCCTGCTCCATCCCTCTCTTCTTTCATTTCATCTGTCTTTCTATTTAGTTTTCTCCTCAGAAATAGTCACCAGAAACATCATGGATCTAAGATGACCTGTGCTGCTATCACACCTCCCCTTCGGCTCCTGCTTTTCATCTCCATCCCCACATCTCTGCCCATTTAGTTTGGAAGCTTTTTGGACTGGGACCATCTACTCTTCTGAGTGCCTAGTAAATCATGAGCCACTTTGTCTTGAGGCACTGCTTCAGCAAACATGACCACTGACACTGATAATCCCAAGAACAGTTACTTTACCCTTCTAATGTGTCAGAAAACCTAGACAGATGAGGCACTGAGTTACAGAATCCCTCCTAGCTCAAGCCTCTTCTGAATGCAGTGGTGCACATCAGCACAACATGGTGGTGTGGCACAGGGAGCAGTTAGTTTTGTTTCCTTAGTGAAACAAACAGGAGGTTAATGTGATCTGAAAAGAACTGTTTAGCTAAAAACTTGATTGGTACTTCAGAGCTGGTCCCCATTCCTGGGAAAAGAACTACATACAGTTAAACAGTCACACCTAGGACCTGAGTTTTACGTTAGCTACAAACTAGCATCCTCAAACTCTGTGCTGGCCCACATGTTCAGTGCTGAATTAGAAGAAAAAAATACATTTATGCTTCCTTGGTTTTACCCCATTTGATAACATCAACAAGCACAGAAGTCCTCACAGAAGGCAAAAGACTGCGAGCCTTACCATGTCTTTAAATGCCCCAAGAATGGCTGCTGTAATAATCCCCAGAAACAACCCGATGATGTTGAGGACTGTGGAGGACCACAGCAGCCTATACAGGTGAACCACATCTTGACAGCTGCTCACGCCGAGAAATTCATAGTAGCTGGAGGACTGCTCTGAACTGAAAGGGAATGCAGACAAGGTGGGAATGGTTTTGCACATAATACAGAGCACCAGAGGATCTGAATCCCTCCTGCTTACCTTCCTCTTTGGCAAAGTACTCCATCCATGCTCCCACCAAACACTGCTCAGATAAACTGGAGAAAGCCCTACTGTAGACAGAAATTGGCTCTGCTAATGGCAGCATTAAGTAGTCCAACTAACAACAACCCTAGTTTGGCTGATCAGCGTTGTGCACCAGCAGGGACTCTTTCTTCTTTTGTTCAGGCCTCTGAACACAGGCATAGTCCTGGCATATAGATGCTGCCCTTGTCATTTAGCTACCAGCTAAAGCACGCTTAGCATTGCGTTTTTTCCCAGCTCACGTGGAAATCTGCTGGCATCTCTGAAACTGGGGAAGGCAAGTTGCTTAAGCACTAATTCAACCACAGGAAGGGAGATTTTGCCAGCTGGCTACATTTGTTTATGGTGTCTGTGGTTCCAAATTAAGAGATGCAACACAGTACAGTATAAAGATGTGCCTTTACACTATGGATTGTACTATCCATAAATCTTTCTTTGTTCATATTTCTACAATGCACTGTAAATCAGGAAATGTAAATAAGGCATGTTTGAAGTTAATCCTCATTGTATTGCCAAAAGTCAGAAATATCTTACTGCAAAAGTTGAAACACAGTTTCCTGCAGTCCTTTCCGGTACCTGCACTAATGCTAGCCCGCTAATGAGCTCCTAGAGCAGCTATTTGAGTTGGGAAGATTTTTTTAAATGCCAGGTGTGTTTTTGCACTGTTAGGAAATTGCCATCAGATTCTATACACATGCATAGATGACTTCCCTCTAGTCCCAAATTTCATTTTGCTTCACCACCCTCTGGGTGAAGAACCTTTTCGTAATGTCCAACCTAAACTTGCTCTGGCACATCTTCCTGTCATTTCCCCTGGTCCTATTGTTGGTCACCAGAGGTGTGCGGAGGGTGAGTCAGGCAGATCTGCTCTGTGAAATTCGCCCCCGTTTCTTGCATGTGGCAAGACATGATGCTGCTTGCAGTTGAAATCTGTATGTGCCAGGTGGCCAGTCAGTTGTGCGAGTTTGTTTAATCTGTCTTCCACATTATAAACCCTTGGACTTTGATGTGATGTAGTTTTCCTAACCATCTTTTTCATTCCTGTTAAATCACTGCATGGCAACCCTGTGCTAACCTTCATCTGATCTTCGTAAGCATATCCAGACATTTCCTCTCTGACATTTCATGCTTTGGTAATGGTGAAGTCAAATGGACAGCTTCAGAAAACACTCACAAGACCCTCTGTATCTATCCTATGACAATTTAGCAAAATCCCATGCCTACAGATGCTGTTGCTAACAAAAGAGCTCTGCACAGGCCTACAACATGATCTCTGCTCATGGACACCTATGTTCCTATTCATTTTGTTTCCCCCAGCTTGGTAGAAAACAAGAAAAGGATTCATTAAATCTAATGGGAAAATTGTGTTGCAAGATTGACAGTAAATCTTGACAGGGCTACGACTGAGTTGTTGGTTTTGATCACACAGCAAAGAGCTTATGAACATATTTAAAGAAAAAGAAACTGAAATAATGCCAACACTAATACACAACCCCGACCTCTTCTCTGCTGGCATCAGGACTTCAGTCATAGAGGAACTGGATTGCTCAGCATACAAGTCCATTGTGTTGCTTCTCCAGGCCTAAGGGCACCCCCCATCCCCCCATCATTTAAGAAGAGGGACAAACGTCCAAGGATTTCTCAGTGTACACAAGTACTTACTTCTCACAGTTGTACAGGTCACAGCAATAGCATGTGTTACTCTTTACTTTCAGCTGGCACTTGCTGTTTAAGGTATAACAAGTCACCTGCCAAAAAAGAAGAGACTGACTTTTATATTCAATATTTCAGTGTTATGTGGATCATCCTACTGACCACAAAGAAGCAGCTACTGCAGTGTCAGGTTTTATTACCTGCTGTGCAGAAAGATCTTGAGATTCCAAAATGCGTGACTGCAGGGCAGAAGGACACCCCTGAGCTCCCATTCATTCGGGACATCAGCCCCTGAGTCTCGGGGCATTTGCACTATTGAGCCCAGAGCCCCCAGCACTAACCTGCAGCCAGAGCTGCCAGAGTTTTCAAGCACTTTGCTGCATTGCCTGGTGCTATTTTGCTGAGATCCAGATCTGCAGCTGCAAGATGTGGATCCCTAGGGCTGTGACACAAGGACCATGGGTCTTGAGAGACACACTACAGCAAGCCACTGAAGTGGTTAAGAATACAACTCCATTATAGTGGAGAAACGGGCAAGGAAGCCAATTTATCTGAACAGCTTCCAATAAATGAGAGCTCTCTCCTTTCAGTAGCACCCTCCTGAAGAAGGAAATAATTAGAAACAACAATGAGAAGAACAATCTCCAAACCCACAAACAAAACTGCTCAGAAAAGATCCCAGCAGTCCAGCAAATAAGTGCCATGTACTGCAGGTTCTTGAACAGAAAACTGAAAAGATTTATGATTAGTGTGAGCAGGAACTGCAGGGATGGACAGATGTTAGAACAATAAAGGTACACACACTTAAGCCACTCTCCATCCAGACAAGAAATCATTTTAATGACTCCTTAAGTGTGGTAAGTATTAATCACTTCTATTTGGCACTGAAGACTTGAATCGAAATATTTTATAGGTAAGGCTTTTTTTCCTGAGACTTTTAGCTTATTGACTTTGAAATCCTGGAGAGCTGTGAGGTTTGAAAAGCTAGCAGGTCAGAAAATACATTCTTTCTATAGTTTTGATTTTGATGGAAAAAATGTACTGTAACCACTGAGAAGTATTTTGTTCATAAAATGCAAATAAAATATATTATTGAATGGAAAATTCCCCACCATTAAAAAGTAGAAGGAGCAAGCTTAGGAATACATGTCTGCTTCTGAAAAGCTTCTGTCAGACAGTTCTGCTTAGCCATGAATGTGTTAGTCTGTGGGATAGTCTTCACAGGAGAAATTAAACTAGATGTTTCTCAGCTCCTGAGTTCTCAATCTGTGCATCCTTTTTAGTGTGAAAATCGCCGCTGTTGATGAGTCTGTACTCCTTACGTGTTTGTTCCTAGCTAAAAGGAAAGCCTTAAACACACACGCTCATCAGTAAAGAAAGTTCATCTTACAGCTGGTCTCAGACTTGCCACACTTGTCCTTAGCAGGGTTTGCTTGAGCAGTGGAAGTTGGATGACAAAGCTAAAGTAAAAAGGAAATTAAAATGATGCCTTGAGATTGCTTTGCTGCCAGGACAAGGCTGTACCTGTGGTTAGTGTGTCACACAAATTAGCTCTTCTAGCCCAAAATGGAAGTTAAGTTATAAAAGGACGGTCTTAGTCAAGGTTGCAATCTGGAAATGGAGCTCACAGACTGATACAGACACACTTGTCACAAGCATATCTCACCCTGAGATAGGACCTCATTTCATCAACCTTGTTCTGTTGCATCTGAACTTACTGGAGTTTCACATAAGGGCTTTGTTGGCCTGAAGTCACATTCAGCAATCTACTGCAGAAGAGGAGCACACTACCATCAATGACTGCATTGGCTTAATCAAGATCCTTCTGAGAAGTGACTGAAGCATCACACCTGGCTACTTCTCAAAGCAGTTTGAAAACCAATCCTGGAGCAGAGTGTGCCAATGCCTCTGCTGCCACAGCCATTTTAATGGAATGCCCTAGTGCTTTTGTACTGAGTAGAACTTAAGATTTTGGTTTTGACCCCCTATATTATGCAGTCAAAATGGCCTAGGACCTGAACGGTTAAAATATCCTTTTCCTATTACATATGCATGATTTGGATCAGAGGGCTTCATAAGATCAAGTGGGCTGCTAAAAAGGTGGTTTGTTCTGATGCATGGCTTGGGAACGACTTCTCATAGAAAATAAAAGTAGTTTTCCCCTCTCTAAGCATCAATAGGGCCAGTTTTCCCCTTTTTATTGTAGAAGACTACAAGTACAAAAGAGGGAGATCATCAAGATCTTAAACGTGTTTTTAGCTGTTTCTAGGCTAAAATAAATATTATATTATTGGCCAAGGGAGTTACTGTAGTTGTCTATTTTTATCACTGCATTTTTAAAATATGCAAAGAGCAAGACACTCCTTTTTAGGAGAACAGTGAATAAACCAAAATAAATTAATGTGTGGTATAAGCAATAAGCAAGGGTGGTGGAAACAGGACATTTGTGGGTATTCTGCATGTCAAGACCTATTATTTCATTTCAGTGACCAGACATTTAGCTTTTTCATGTTCTGGCTGTTTGTGCTTGTCTATCCCCTCAGCACCAATTGATGAGATGTTCTCACCTCATGGTTATTGCAAAAAAAAAATTCTTCTGCTTTGAGCAAAGAGGAGAATCAAACAAGCAACCTACATGAGCTGGAGACCACTCACAGGCTAGAGATGGCAATCAAAAGGAAACTTGCACTCCATAAACAATATGCCTTCCTAGTTAGGTGTTCCCCTGGCATGCAGAGCATGTCCCCTGCTCACTAGTTGCCAACTTTGGAAAAGCAAAAGCCAAGTTCAAATGCCATGGATCATTAACTCTGAATTAGCACATGCTGACTCTAGATCAGTGGACAACCAGACAAGAATGTTATTACAAACTAGCTACACTTTTAAAAGATAAGGGGATTTTGTCAAAATAGAACAAGGAGCTCTGGGTGGCCCAACTTCAGACATTTCCAGAATCTGCAGAGCTGGAGAAACCTGTCTGGCCGGAAGCCTGAGGCTGGGGTCACCTGCAGGCAACTGTGGTCAGTGCGATGCCAGCTACACGCTCATTACAGGAATCAGAAGCATTTCTCAGGCCATGCCTGTGTCTGAGTATGAACACGCACTTTAAAAGAGGATGAAGTAAAACTTACAGGAAAGGGTGTTGTCACAGGTATCAGAATCATATAATCATAGAATGGTTTGTGTTGGAAAGGGCCTTTAAAGCTCATCTAGTCCAACCCCTCTGCAGTGAGCAAGGACATTTTCAACTAGATCAGATGAACTGATCACAAGTTTGTCTGGGTAGGTTTTTAGGCAAGGAGGTCAGTGAAATATTTTTGTCATACATTTTCTGGTATCAACAAGAGGGTGCCCTAACAGCAAGATTTAAGGAGTATTAGCTTCTTAACCTGGTAATATACTTTGATAAGCTGTCTAGATTTATTAATGGTAACATTCCCCATACACTTTTTCTTAGCCATGGGAAGAATGGTGATGAAGGACATCTGGATTCTTGTAAATTATACCACTCTTCAGCTGTTCTCAATCCTGCTCTGCTTGATTTTCTTTTCATTCCCACCAATTTACCACAATAATAAAATGAAAAATAGGAAAAGAAACTAAATCTGGAGTTCTCAAGAGGCAAGCCATTTGGGTATGGGCACTTTTCCGACCATGTTAATGTCATTGAGATAATAAAAAAGCTGCATTCAAACCACTCACAATCTTGGCCTGTGCTGGATAAATACAGAGAAGATTTGAAGTTTTCTGGACAATGCAAATGGATTCATTTAGATATTTCCTACGTCCTTAAAGAAAGATGCCAATGTGACAAATACATTCCAGACAGCTATTATACAGTATAGATGGACTAGGAATCATTCCAGTCCCAGAGTAATGTACTGGATAGAAACACTGATGATGACTCAAAACCTCACTGGTTGTAATGATTTGCAATCATCAGATGCTTGGACAAGCAGTGAGTCACTGGTGGAAGAAAAAACCAGTAGAGTTTCTATCAACCCGTGACCTACATGCACAGACATACTCTCTAACACCTGCCTCCCTCCTCCCCAGCCCCTCAAAGCACAGTAGAAAGGAAAATGTGATGAGGCGAGTTTGTTTACCTCTGTCTGGTAGGCATCATATAGGAATCCTATTCCACTTGAATAAAACTGGCACCTTTTGTTATACAAAGGTCTGGGTTCCTGTAAAGAGAAAAACAGCCAAAAAAATACTCAATCTGGAGGAAATGTGAAGGCACCATGTCCCATGTCCCCATGCCAGATACTTACAGCTCTGTGGAGCTGAAGCCAATGCAGACACTTGGGTAAGTGGCTCACACACCCCCGCGTTGTCTTTCTTTCCAGAATGGCTCCCCTCAGGGTTACATTTTCCTTTCTCACTCTGACACTAAGCTATGAAAGTATCATTTATTTTTCTCCATACCAGTGACCTCTTTTAGGAAGACATCACCGCTGGCATTTAACCACTTCCTGCTTGACATCAAATAGTACTGTTCTATGAAAGTGTTCCAGTCACTCTTTTTCCTGGTTCCTTCTTTTACCTAGCACAAAGAATTACTTTGCTATTTGTCTTCAAGATATGGGACTTTCTTTTTAAAGGATTTCAACAATGTCCATAGTGAAAACAAAATAAAAAAGGTAATACTTCAAGCACTCTACTTACTACACACACTTCAAATGCCAAAAGCAAAACAAAGAATAATGAAAAAATGAAGGCATAAAGGGGAAGTATTTAGCAGTGTTTGTTTTTTGCCTTCTTTTCCATTTATGCTTATTGCAAAAGATGCATTCACTGCTCATATTTCATATTTTGCTTGTAACAGTTCCCACAAGTCGATATAAAGGAAGAAAACAATGAGATATCCTTGGCCAGATGGAAGATGTGTGTTTCCAAACTTGGCAAATGGCCACTTTGAAGGCTAGAGGGTGCATACCTCAGTTAGTTTCAGGACTAGACCATATTTGCCTAGGGAGGATTTGACGACTGAAGAGTCCTCTGTGATCAGATGTCTATCCCAAACCAAAGTGTGGGAATGACTTCTGTTGGCAAAAAAAGTCTTTTTCAACTTTCTGTCACTTATACCTATTCCTGATCTGTGCCTTCAAAAGCACTCAAGTGCTCCCCAATACATCAGTTAGACCACTTCCAAGAGAGGAGATGGAAACCCGCTATCTGACATCCCCTCCTTCCATGCTAACTTACAAGCAAAGGACTACTTAAATCGTTAGCAGAAAACTGTGCTGATTAAGTTTCACTGCATTTTAAAGCTTTATGACCCACCTAGGAATAACCCAGAAATGGCACAAAGATCTGCACTACTTAAGATCACTTATTGAGTAGTCTATGCTTGCTGGATAATGAAGTGTGAACTGTATAAATCTGCTGACCCAAAATACATAATCATTTAAAATGCAGAGCTAGGCAGGAATGCAGACAGGTCAATGAATAAAGCTCATCCCTCAGCTTGTTTGCCTTTCTGATTACTCTGGCAAAGCTAAGGAAGTCTGGACACCAACTCCCAAGGGTTAGGGAAAGGTTAGCTTCCTGCATCCAAAAATATTTATTTATATTACACAAGTGTAAGAAAAAATGCTCCAGTAACTCTTTTTCTCTAGAGGAAAAGTAAATACCACACAAACAGCATGCTATGTCTAGAACTAGGATAACATTCTTCCATAGGCCTGGGAAAGCATTAGCCTTTAGTCATGACTTCTAGGGACAGATCTGATTGGAAGGACTAACAGGATTGTAGTTTCTCTGCTAGCACAGCAAGCACGCACAGGATGCACTGCCCTTCTTTCATAGAATGTACACCAAGCCTGATTTCATCTGTTACATAGGAATGAAATTAGAGAGAAAGGGAATGAGCAGTAGAAATGGCTTTTTCTGCCTTGAGGAGGAAATCCATGAAAAACTGCTGTCCATCATATTCACAACAATAACAGGTTTCAGTTTGATCCTGGAAGATCCTGGAAGAGAGTGATGGTCTTTCTTAAGAAAGCAGCAAGAATGCATGGAACATTGTCTAGGGACAGATGAGGGCACTCACAGGCCCTGGTGCTCACAGAGCATTTTAGCTACTTTACTACTTCAAAGTAGTAAAGGATTTTACCCCAATATCTGTGTGAGGGACAATATAGCTGCCGGAAGGACAACATGTTGGAGCACAAATAATCCAGGAGGGTTCTGGAGTGCATTAACAACCACCTCCTACCATGGGTGATCAAGCAGCTGACAAGGAGAGGAGCTCTGCTGGACTGCATACTTACAAACAAGGAAGGACTACTCAGTGATGTGAAAGTCAGGGTCAGCCTTGCCCCTGATAATGAGATGGTGGAGCTCAGAATCTGAAGAGGAATGGGCAGGGAAAAAAGCAGGATCGCAACTCTGGACTTCAGGAAAGGAGACTTTGGCCTATTTAGTGATCTGCTTGGAAGAATCCCATAGGATACAGTCCTGGAGAGCTGGTTGATATTCAAGGATCACCTGCTCCAAACTTAAGAACAGTTCATCCCAACTAGCAGGAAATCAAGTAAAGGCAGCAGGAGGCCTGCATGGATGAACAAGGAGTCCCTGATATAACTCAGACATAAAAGGGAAGTGTACGAGAAGTGCACTCAGGAGCAACTCACCAGGGATGAAAACAGATAAATTATGTTAGCATGCAGGAATGGGGTTAGGAAAGCCAAAGCCCACCTGGAATTTAATCCAGTGAGGTCTGCAAAGGGCAGCAAGAAGGGTTTCTATGGGTATATTAGCAGCAAAAGAGAGATTAGGAAAAATATGGGCATATTACTGAATGTGGTGGGCAACCTGGCGACAAAAGGCATGGTAAAGGCCAAGGAACTCAATGCCTTCTTTTACTTGGTCTTCAGTGGAGACCAGTGGGAAAATCTGGGGCAAGACTTAATCTTGCTGGAGCAGAATCATGTTAGGGAATGTTTAAACAGACTGGAAATACACAAGTCCATGGGACCTGGTGGGATGCACCCATGAGTACTGAGGAGGCTCAATGATGTCAATGCAAAGCCACTCTGAGTTATCTTTGAAAAGTCATGGTGTTCAGGGAAGATTTCTGAGGACTTGAAGAAAGTGAATGTCACTTCAAGAATGACAAGAAAGAGCATTCACGGAGCTACACACTGGTGGGAAGGTGATGGAGCAAATAATCTTGGAAACCATTTCCAAACATCTCAAGGACAGGAAAGTGATTGAGAGTAGTCAATATGGATTTACAAAGGGGGAATCGTGTCTGACCAACCTGTTAGCCTTCTACAAGGATGTGACTAGCTTGGCAGATGAATGGAGCTTCTCACTCATCTGCTTCTGGATGTTATGTTCACTTCAATAAGGCCTTTGGCAGTTTCTCATAACAGTCTCACAGACAAGCTAATGAAGTGCAGGCTAAATAAATGGAAATTGAGTTGGACTGAAAGCTGGCAGAACTGCGTGGGTCATGGTGGTGTGATCAGTAACATGAAGTCCAGCTGGAGGTCAGTCAATAGTAGTCTACCTGAGGGGTCAATACTAGGGACAATATTGTGTAACATCTTAATTACTGAACTGGATGGTGGGTAGACTGCACCTTCCACAAGCTTGTAGATGACACAAAACTGGGAGGAGTGGCTGAAACACCAGAGGACCATGTTATCGTTCAGAGGGACCTGGGCTGGATAAATAGCTCACAGGAACCTCAAGAAGTTCAGCACAAGGAAATGCCAAATCCTGCACCTGGGGAGGAATAATCCCATGTGCCAGAAAAGGCTGGGGTTGATCGGCTGGAAGGAAGCTTTACAGAGAAGGACCTGGGGGTCCTGGTGGGTTGCAAGTTAACCTTGAGACAGCAACGTGCCCATGTGACAAGAAAAGACAGCAGTATCCTTGTCTGCATTAGGAAAACCATCACCACCAGGTCCAGGGAGGTTGATTGTATCTCTCTACTCAGCACTGGTAAGACATATCTGGAGTGTTGTGTCCAGTGCTGGGCTCCCCAGTATGAGAGAGGCGTGGACATACTAGAATGAGTGAAGAAAAGGACCATGAAGATGGAGCATCTGTCATAGAAGAAACAGCTGAGAGAGCTGGGACTGTTCAGCCTAGGCAACAGAAGGCTCAAGTGTACCTTATTAATGTGTATCAATCTCCCTCCATCAAGTACAGGAAGACCCTCACCTTGGCCTTGATCTCTTGGCTTACGCAGCTTTCCTACCCTTTACACCTCCTTCCTCTGAAAAAATAAATTGATCCTTTATTGGTTTAGTCTTTGAGGGAGAAGACAACCACACTTTTCATCCAGGTGTGCTTGTGACTGGAAGCAGCACTGTTCCCTGGGGAGAGAGGTGATTGATTAATCCATACCAACTATTATCGCTCCATATTGCTGTGCAGCAAAAAGGCCTGAGCTGTGACATGGAAGCGACCACTGTGAATACAGTTAACACACTTGCATGCACAATCATGGCCAACGAGTGCTTTCCTTCATGCACCTGATTTTGAAAAGCAAGCCTGCTGCACTAGTAAAGCCAGCTTTCTGCATTCAGTCTGTTCTTCTAAATGCATTTGTATGTGCCATCAGTCTGGCCACCCCAAACCAAAATAAATAAGTGATGATCGAGCATACAAAAATAACAAAGATTAGATAACACTGACTTTATCCAGACACTCAGAGAACTCAACACCTAAAGCACGCAGCTTTGAACTAGAGGTACACTGGAGGTGCCAAAAGGCTGCACTGGTAAAGGCTTCCATTCGGATTAGATTTTCACACCACAGAGGTGCTGTGGTCTGTCTGTCTATGAAGGCATTTCTATGAATAAGGCACCACAGAGACATTAAAAAGTGTTTCAAAATTATCCAACAATATGTCACACTGCATTAGCACCCGTTGGATTTTACAGGCCTCTCTAATAACAAAGGCAAATGAGACACACTTCAAAGCTATAAAAGTATTCCTGACAGACTGCTCATAAAATACTTTATATTTTCATATTGCTCACTGCAGGCTGTGTATGAATATAGGATCCCTACCAGTCCTTGATTCTACTTGATTCTACTGCTTATGGCAATACTGGTAGAGACAGAGCTACTTTTAAATACTATATATGTAAGCATATATATATATATTATCTACTAACAGTTGTTTTAAAATATATAGCAAACAATATCCTGTTTAACTAATTTA